TTCTCTCCGGGCTGGACAGTTCTTTGGGTGGGGGACAGTCCTGTGCTTTGTCGGCTATGTACCAGCATGCTTGGCCTCTGCCCACTGAAGTCAAGCATCAGCACCTCCCCTCCAGTGTGACAACCACAAATGTCCCCAGGTGTTGCCAGATGTTCCCCGGGGGCAACATTGCTTTATATTTTACTAGGACCCAGTGCTTCTAATACTGGTTGATTAACATTTTAAATCATCTCTATACTTGATGATGAGCTCCTCAAGGACTAAAGATCAAATCTTTCTCTTCTTAGCACTTAACTGCAGGCACGCATGCCTCTTTAAACTTGGGGGGTTAACTTAAATTTAAAAGTGCTTATTGAGCCACCTTACATTGTGCAGGCATGTTGCTAGTTGAGATAAGACACCAAAGGCAGACTGCATCGTAATTATTTTAAAGGTTTAAAGGTCAGGACTTTTATTTTTAACCGTTGCATTTTCCAGTGCCTTTTTTAGATCCTTTACCATGCATGCCATTACTATTTGCAAGACTTGCCAAATGAATGAACAAATGCATCGGTCCATCTCTGTAATCCTCCTAAGGAACTGAAAGTACTTTAACAAGCTTCATGTCACTGAGCTGTGAAGTTAATTTCTCTGGCCCAGGTTTCCTATTGCCTCATTTTTAGTGGACACTGGGCACTAAATATTAATTCAAAGGAAGTGTTGTATTTACTTTATCAGATATCTTTGTATTTCACCTCTAATTTATGGCAGTGAACAACAGGAGATCCAGCTGTCTGTGCATTGGGTTGCTACCCTGTTTGACCAACAGAGAGGTTCTGGACTATAGGAAAATAGGCTTAATGTAACTGGGAGTGAAAACTGTACCCACTAATGATCTGACCCCTTAAATATGCGTTTGGCGTTGTATGTATTACAGTCACTGTGCTTCCTATTCTCTCACTCTTAGTTTTGTATTTGAGATATTTGAAGACAATGAGGGCAAGTTCTCTCTGAACAGGTAAGGTTCATCTCTCTCACTTCCGTCATGGCTGCAGCAGTCCGCAGCGCTCTTGCTGTGCTTACAAATTCATCTCCTGAGTCATAGGGTTGCTCTCAGAATCCTCAAATAACTGGATCTGTAAAATTAAAGCATCCAAGTTGGAAGCAACCATAAAGGTTGTTTAGTCCACCACTGACTGGATTTCATCCCAAAGGTTTTCAATCTGTTTTCTGAAGTCATTTCACCCTAAATGACATACACTTGTACACCATCTTGACATGGGGGCTGAGATAAAGTCCTTAAAATTTGCAGGAAACAAAACTACTGTAGTAATAAATCATTGTACATATATCACAACATACAGAAAATAGTTCTTTACAGGCTGTTGGTGATGGTCATCTCCTCATATGCTAGCTGTAACTTTGCCCAAGTTATTTAAAAAATTTGGAATGCAAGTGAATGAAAACGATAGAATTATATACTGAGTTACAGAATTATACCTGACTTTGAATCCGCTATAATTTATGTTTTAAAAGTAAACAACTTATTTTCCATGTTTTTTGATACAAATCACTTGTAATATTTAACCTCTCAACTGATGCTAACAAGGTGGTATGAATGCCAGGAGGCAATTAGAGATGAGGAAAAACTGGTAATAATTTTTTTTATCCAAGTCCACTCACTCCTAAATCTAGTCCTCAGATTACCTTTATTTGGGTTCATGAGATTAGCCCAAATAGGCCAGACCCAGAAGCTTGGAGAAAACCAATATACAGAGATTTAGAATAGAGACACTCTGTAGCAGAATTTAGATCACAGAACTTCCTCCGGAGAGAATCAGCAAAGACAAGAGAGGACGTGTATGGGAGGGCAGCCCAGGAGAATGGCAGGGAGGTTTGCCGCCTGCCTTCAGACCTCTCAACCAGAGCCCTAAGCACCTCCACCCAGATTCTTTTCTGTGACCCCATTAACTCCCTTCACTGTTTGGGCCAGTTTTGACTGGATTTTTCTATTATGTGTAAGTAACCATGAGATTCCTGATTGGTACCTTGGCCCAGAAGAGATTAGGTGAGTCCTACGAGTCAAACAGGAGCAGGTTAACTCTGGTATTGGCTAGTCTAGAGATCAGACTGGAACGGTGTTGCTCCAGAACCCTGCGGACTCTGCGGGGAGGCCTCAGGAGGCACACGGGGCAGTGGGGTGGAGAGGCCTGTGGGCACTCCACTCTTCCTGTGTTTATTTTATAAGTAAAAAATTTCATCTACATTTTTATCTGCTTCCCACATAATAGTTTGAGGAAAGGATGCTGTCTTTTAGATGAGTTTGAAACACTGTGCTAGGCCTTCTGGGGGCACATTTTCATGTCTCCTGGCAGGGAAGGGCATACGTCCAAAATAACTCTGGGCATGGGGCAGAGAGCATAATCAGGACTCGTGTATTTCATACCTAACAGATTATCATCTTCTCTAACTAACAACAGCTATGAAGGGCAGTGACTGCTCCACTTAATAGGTGAGAAAGGTTAAATGACTTGCCTAAGGTCACACTGCTCGGGATTAGACAGGCTCACGATTCACACTCAGGCCCATTTGACTCCATGCTTTCTTCCCACTGCTCAGCACTAATTCACTAGTTCAGACATATTATATGTAACAAATAAGTTATTTATCTTACTGCCCTTGCAAAGATGGTCTAATTTAATGGCCTGCGATATTTTTTTCATTAAATCTCTAGGATTGTCTGAACGTTCCAAATTATTACTGATCGAGGGGACTTGGGAAATCAAAAATCAGGTTATTACGACACCATTAATTCTACGCACATTAGAATTTTACTTCTTATATTCTGTTGGGTCTGAGTTTAGAGACCATAGGAAGGAAGAGACGTTGGAGGTTAGTGCCACAGCCAGACAGGCTCTGGTTTAGTGGTTATATCTTCAGAAGGTAAGATTTTTAACACATAGTCTGCATTACGTAGGAATGATTTGTGGTATTAGGGGTTCCTGGAGTTCAGGAGAATTTTGCTTTATTGCATATAATAGAAGGACTCACTGGATATTAAAAAAAGTTTTAATGCCATTAAAAACAAATCACTTGTTATGGCCCAGGAGAAGATGATCTACTGCCATATTTAAATGTCATGGTATATATGAGGCTCCTAAAGAATTCAGGCTTTCAGGAAAATCTCAATGAAGACTCCTGCCTGAAATTATATGATATATATGTTAAGAATGTGGCACTATCACATTCTTATTTACAGAGATTTCAATTTACTAAACATGTTTTCATTGTTTGTTTACTTATTTATGGAAAACTACTTTTTACACAGCAACATTTTGTTCATTATACCTCAATAAAGCTGAAAAAAGTGAAATGACTGTTGAAGACTTAAATAAATGGATTCATCCTGAAAAGAAACTTTAAAATTTTATACTTGTGAATATTACTTCTTGCATAATGAATACAGAAATAGAAAATTTTTAAGTGAAACTGGGAAAAATGCTGTAAATTTGAGGAAGGATAGTTAACTGTGGTAAAACAGAGACTTCATTTTTGTGATCATTTTATGACTCCCAAGAAATACTGAGCTTTGTGATATCTTGCTTGGAGTAAAGCACTGATTTGAAAACATAACTTTTAGAAAATAAGTTTAAAACTTTTCTCACAACTTATTGAGCTCAGTGAAACTTTAAGATACTTGATAGCAAGGTTTCCTTTGAAAATATGGCTGAATGTTTTCATGGTTACCTACCTTTTACCCCAGCTGAATGAATCAAAGAATTACAAATTGAAGGAAATCCTTCTGTAATGAAACTCGAGACTGCCCATAGCCTACACCAGACTACCAAGAAATTCTTCCAAATAAAATGAAATTCGGACTGAAATCTATAAACATAATTTTTACCTCAAATAGATGCATGTTTTGTAGAGTAAGAGGGATGCATATTCCGCAGAGGATCTTCCAACAGTTACTTTGAAACATTAAGATTCAGAATGAAGAAATGGGGGGAAGGCATCTGTGTGAAGGGCTGATGTCCACGGCCGGTTCCCGGCAGACATGCTCCTGTCATGGTATTAATGAAGTGTGGGGAAAACGGCCTGGGGCGGGGGGAGAGGAGCAGCAAGGAAAGGACGTCTCCACAGTCTTGCCCAGAAGGACTGCAAGTTCCTTTCTTCTCTATACTGCTCTTAACTGGGAAATTATAAAGGAAAGCAAGGTTTATATGCTTACAAATGTGTCATTAATACAGCTGACTACACAGAAGCCAAGAAACCTGTGTATGGCAAAATAAAATTAACAAAAGACAGTTTGGAAATATGTTTACACTTATGACAAAAGCTTCCATTGTATATGAACTACTTATAAATCAGCAAGAAAAAGGTGAATAGGCTACGAAGGTGAATAGGTAATTCTGGGAAGAAATGTAAGTGGCTAATATATACAAGATTTTTCTCAGATTGGCATGTGAGGACTGAGTGACAGTGGGGGTCCTCAGGGACACCTGTGTACTGGTGACAGGTGTATTAATTATGGTCACCTTTTGGGCAGGGTCTTTTGTCAACTGGTATCTGAGTTTAAATTATTTTTTGAGACTCAGAACTACTTACAGGAAATTTATGCTACAAACACTGTCCATGAATGATGTGTGTGTGCGCGTGCGCAATCGTGCACGTGCATGTACAAAAGAAGACTAGCATGAGAGGGATCATACAGATAGATATTTATTGGAGCATTCGGATTGTTTCCATTTTTATCAATGGAAATTTCTTTGATAAATTTTGGTACATTCCTATAGTAGAATGCTGTGAAGCTGAGAATGAAGTAAAACTGTACATTGACATGGGAAGATATCTAAGATTATTCAAAGAAGAAAATAGGTTGCAAATAGAACAGAGAAGACTCAAGCATTGCTAAAGTATACATAAAAAATTAAACATATGCTAATACGTTTCTAAAATACAGTAGGAATCTATACTAGCAATGTACGCTCAACTGCATGGTGCCTCTGTTTTCCTTACAGATGCTGCTTTGACAAGACCACGTCATGAAGCCTCTGCCGGCCCAAACTCCTACGGAAACCCACCTGCTCAGGCTCAGTCTCCACCTGTTATTCCTCACCCTGTGCATGCCTCCCATTCTAACATGTCTTGTCATGCACCCCCACCCCCTACTAATTTAGACAGCACAGCTGCACCAATCCCGCAGCATCTTCATGCCACAAACCAGCCAATTCCGTATTACATTCCAGGCACTGCACCTCCAGGACAGAGAATGCATCGTCGCCAAGTTATGCAGACGATGGAAGATCAAAGGAGAATGATGCAGCATCCAATGTATGTTTCACGTTTTTAAAAAGATAATCACACATTATTCCTTTTCCTTCTATTCCCATTGGATTATAACACTATAAAATCAGTAGAAGCAATTTAAGTATACTAAACCACCAGTTCACTAGGTTATTCTTTACTAACCAAAATCTTCCTCTGTCTTACCCTGAGTTGTAGGTGTTGACAAAACAAATTTATTTAACGAAACCAAACCATTTTCAGGATGCAACAAAGGGTCATTTATTTTTGCAAAAGAGTCTCTTGTTTCTTTTTTCAGTTTCCATAGTAAGGTTAATGTTAAAATTGATGATCTTGAGAAACAAGATATAGTACTCAAATATTTACTTTGACTTATTATATGTTACCAGCCAGACGGAAGAAGAGTATTAGCATTTTTCAGCTCTTCTTTTTTCAATGTCTTTTTAACTTAGTTTATTTATTAACTTAAATATTATGGTATTACCATAACATGGGACGACTAACTGAACTTTTTGCTTTTTCTTTGAAAATTAAGTATCTGGTTTTCTACTTTAGGGCAGCAAATTCTGTTCTTCATATTCTGCCTGCTTGTTTTTGTAAATACAATTCTACAGGAAAATGGCTACCCTTGTTCATTTATGTGTTTAGCCAGTACACCTGCACCAATCCCGCAGCATCTTCATGTGCTTGATTTCGTCTGTGGCATCTGTGCCTTCTTTCACATTACAAAGACTAACTTGAGTATTACAAAGACTTAGTAACTACTTAGTAAGACCTAGTTGAGTATGGCCTATAGAGAAGTATTTGGCCCTTACAAAAATGTTTGCAAATCTCTTGAAATAATTAATATCTACCACTTCTGTGACTTCTTCCTTTTGTTGTATAATTTATGATTATACCCAGAATCTCTGGTTGTTGCCATTGTAATATAGTAACCCTTTATATAGAAAGTTATAAATGTAACATTAATATTTTCCAGTATCTAGAAGATTACTTGTTCTAAATTGTTAAGATTAAACATGCAGTAGTAACCACAGTGGTGCTCATATGAAACCTGAGCATAAAACTGTCTATTAATGATATCTTAATAAAAAAAAGATTAAACACACAAAATCTGAAAATGTGTTAGAAGCTAATAGGAAATAAGAATTGGAGTATAAAGATGCATCACTGGAACTCTTTCTTGAGGTACTCTGTTCAGAACTGTGCTTATATTTGTAAATTTGACTGACTCTAGAAAGAGAAAATATATTAAGCTGGAATACAGAATAAAGAGTGTGAATGGAGCTAATATCAGTTTCCAGATGTGGAACCTCTTCTTGCATGTGTTTGAAATAAATGCACAAGGTTAACATTTTTTTCTCTTAAAAGATTTATCTTTTGAAATGGCTGAATGTTATAATATAAAAGTAAAGCAAAACAAGATTCTTCCATTTTCCTGCCTTACGTGTTTATAGATGTATCTTACTTGCTCCTGTAGCGTTTGCTGCAGTGTTTAATTTTAAAAATTTTATTTCCATTCAGATTCGTGTTATTTTACTTAAAATATCTGCTGTAAAGAAGGTATATAACAAAACATTCAAATTGTCTTTTTCCTTGGATACATCTGAATTGGAGGTATTGTAAGAAATGAGCAGTGAGAATTTGTGGGGTTAGGATTTCTTGACTTATTAATCATTAAATCTATGCTACATTTTTATAATTTATTAGATAATGAATTTCATGACTAATCTATAGGTGTTTCAATATTAATACTAGGCTATTTTTTCTACATTAAGAAATAACCAATTATTCAATTATTTCCGGTGGTCTTTCTGTGTTCTGTTTCCAGGCTGGCACCTGAGCGCCCCTGACCTCACCCACATAGGATGCATCCATACAGTGGACACGGACATCCTTTGCCTGGGACTATGTCCTCACATCCTCGGTAGGCTCCAGAGAGATCTACCCCATCAGTATCTTGTCTATTTCAGCGATATGCTCAGTAGCTTGTGGTCAAACGGCCAGAATCAATGCTTTCATAGTGGAATGCCATCCAGGGTGGTGCTGTGGAGAAACTGAATTCAGTTTAGCTGTGAGGCACTGCCTCTGGGCAAGTTAGAGACCTGGAGAAGCAACAGGAGGACCTTGAGTTCTGGGGCAGGGGGCCATGTCACACAGGAGTAAGCTGTTCTGTTGTCCTTCAGGGCTGTCTACCATTAAAGCCAGCTCCCTAAATACATCCTGCTTTTCACAACTTCTTTATACACCCTCCCTGTTCTTAGTACTCACATCTACTTGACTGCCTCTAACCCTGGCTACTGACAAGAGAACACCAGCTTGTGCCTTCCTAGTCTTACGGTGTTCACTAGAGAAGTGGAAGTAGATGTGGATTAACTTTCTATGAAATTCATTTTCTTTAGGAAGTCATTGAGATCTTGGTCTACAGTAGCTTTTGAGGCAGAACATAAAGTGAGAATAAATAAATGGAGATTTGGCATTTGCCAGTTTTACTCCTTATAAAAATTTGTTTACCCTTGTATTATAAGGTACAGATGTGTTTGTTGTTGTAATTATCTTTGAAGCCAGCAACCCAGAGACATAATTCAACAAACAAAAGTCTTGGGAACATCTGTAACGTTCACATAAACAAACAAACAAACAGGAACACCTAATTTGTGTGCTCCTCAAGTAGAGTCGGACTTTTAGATTGGAAGGAACCTATGCAGTTTGTTTCCTTTGTAGGATGTGAATGAAACTCAGGACAGCGCTTTGCTCCTTGTAATTACAAAATGGAATTTTTGAGCTTTACTTTCTGAATTGAATTTGAGATTTTTTTTTTAGTTATATCTCAGGGACTAAATTTGTCTTAGCTGTGTAAGTTAAGAAGCTTTAGGTAACTTTAAAAAATGTAAACATACTCGCCCATTCCTACTGATTATCATAAGACACCGCAGAGATGGTTAAAAGCTAAAGCGCTCTCATCCTTTGTCAGGGGCCTGGGAATGGAAGCTGGAGGGGCTGCAGCTGCTGAGGCACCTGGAGCATCGCGTCCCCACTTGGACCATCACCATATATCACTTCGGCTTCACTTCGTATTTGTACGAGTTCTTCCTTTATTGGTAAAATAAAAACTTTTCAAAATGCTGAAATATTCTTCTTAAGAATATTCTTTTTCTAAATTATTTTATTGTAATTATTCTCAACATATTAGTTATAGATGTTTTAATAGAATTTGAGAATTAGTAATTGGAAATAGTGCTATAAAAAAAGTATTCGATATATTAAAATCTGTCTTTGTATTTGCACTGTAAAATGTACTGTATTTTTCTCTCTTTATAAAAGTTTTTTCTTTTGTACGAATACACCAGTCCTGATCCACTGTCAGTGGGACATGAACTTGATTTTCTCACAAGTAATTGGTCTGTTCCTATGCATTTCTACTTTACTCATCTGCCAAAGGACTATACTCATTCTCTGTATCTGATTTCAACAGATTCACATTTTGTACATACCAATTTAAGGTGTAAATTTATTGAGTGTGCAATTCATAATACATGCTAGTTATAAAAGTAGGACAGAAGGAGGCAGAGCCAAGATGGTGGTGTGAGTAGAAGAGGGAATCTCCTCCCAAAAACATATATATTTTTGAAAATACAACAAATACAACTAATCCTAAAGAGAGACCAGAAGACACAGGACAACAGACAGACTACATCCACACCTGCAAGAACCCAGCACCTGGTGAAAGGGGTGAGATACAAGCCCCGGCCCGGCGGGACCCGAGCGCCCCTCACCCCAGCTCCCGGCAGGAGGACAGGAGTCGGAGCGGGGAGGGAGAGGAAGCCCAGGACTGCTAAACACATAGCCCCAGCCATCTGGAGCAGAGCGCACACACAGTGAGGTCAAGGACACTAGGGAAACAGGACAGTAAGACCTTTGAGGGGGTCCCGAAGCCAGCACCCCTGTGACAAAGAAAAGCTAGTGCTTTTTGAAAGTCTTAAAGGGACAGGGACCCCACCGCTGGAACTGTGCTGTGCTGTCCCCTCATTGAAGAAAGGCAGGTTGGCGGTGTGTGTAGTGAAGGTCTGGTGGTGGCTGATGAGAATGGCATGAGCCTTGAAATTTGGTAACCACAAACTTAAAGCCTGCAATGGCAATAAGTACATACCTTTCAATAATCACCCTAAATGTAAATGGACTGAATGCACCAATCAAAAGACAGAGTAATAGAATGGATAAAAAAGCAAGACCCATCCATATGCTGCTTACAAGAAACTCACCTCAAACCCAAAGACATGCAAAGACTTAAAGTCAAGGGATGGAGAAAGATATTTCATGCAAACAACAGAGAGAAAAAAGCAGGTGTTGCAATACTACTATCAGACAAAATAGACTTCAAAATAAAGTAACAAAAGATAAAGAAGGACATTACATAATGATAAAGGGCTCAGTCCAACAAGAGGATATAACCATTATAAATATATATGCACCCAATACAGGAGCACCAACATATGTAAAACAAATACTAACAGAATTAAAGGAGGAAATAGAATGCAATGCATTCATTTTAGGAGACTTCAACCCACCATTCACTCCAAAGGACAGATTCATCAGACAGAAAATAAGTTAAGGACACAGAGGCACTGAACAACACACTAAAACAGATGGACCTAATAGACATCTACAGAACTCTACATCCAAAAGCAACAGGATACACATTCTTCTCAAGTGCACATGGAACATCCTCCAGAATAGACCACATTCTAGGCCACAAAAAGAGCCTCAGTAAATTCCAAAAGATTGAAATCCTACCAACAACTTTTCAGACCACAAAGGCATAAAACTAGAAATAAATTGTACAAAGAAAGCAAAAAGGCTCACAAACACATGGAGGCTTAACAACACGCTCCTAAATAATCAATGGATCAATGACCAAATTAAAATGGAGATTCAGCAATATATGGAAAC